GGCATAGAGGAGAAAAAATAATGTACAGTATGTGGAAAATAATGTGTTTTTTGAACCTTAAACCGCATAAACACATTTCATTACACCAAATACACAAAATAATGTTCTTTTTAGCAGCATCATATGACCCCTTTAAGAAAATTACAATGGTTTACATAGTCAAAATACAATAGTTGCTACAGTTATTGTTTCTACAATAAAATATAGTAACCTGGTTTAAGCAACCGCTGTAATAAAAAATGTTTTTTAACAAAATGAAAGATTTTCAAAGCGTCGTACACATTAAAAGCCTCATAGTAATTTCTAATATTTACAGTAGTAAATCTACTGCTTCTGACTGAACAAGTACATGAAGGCTGGATTTTTTCTTTTTTTTGATGATAGGCTAGAAATAGAGTTTTTAGTAACCAAAATACATAGTAAATACCATAAGTAAATGCATAATACCATATTAAACACAATAAATGCCATTATTACCACAACAGAATGTATATTTTTGATTAATCTCACATATTATTCTGACATATCATATTATTACTTTAATCCTGTGAACAAAACCCTAGTTGAGCATCATTACAGATAGCTAATTTAATGTTTTAACTGGCAGTTTTAACTGGTTGATGAAAAGTTCAGCAACACCTTTTTAAAAGTCTTTTTCACAAGTTCGAATAATCATATTTATATCACAGGTGTGATAGTTGTAGGCCTATTCAGCCGAAAGAACTGGAACAGCACGTTGCACAGCTCTCTATAGCGGAGCCCGTACAGGTACGGTGCTAAGGCTTTGGGCAGGATGAGTAAGACGTTACACACCACCAGGGACATCCACAGGTTCGCTTTGGGGTCCATAGTCTCATTGTTGTTGCAAAGCATCAACTCGATCATCAAAACCAGCAGGGGGCAGAAAGTCAGGAACAGGTGGAGATAATGGATGAGAAATGTTCCTCTAGCACGGGACGAGGTCTCGCCCTTCCACACGCCTGAACTACGGGTACAAAAGTAGAGGATGATGTAACCAGACAACACCATAAGGAGGATGAAAATGATACCTGTGACCGTCAGCAGCATGGAGACATGGAGTGGGCGAAAGTGGCTTACGGTCAAAACCATCAGCAAAGGAAGGGAGCAGAGGTGGAGGGCGCAGGGGGCCGTACTATGGTACCACAAAAACATGCCAATAGATGCCGCAGGGAAAAAGACCGAGACGACCCAGATGGCACCAAGTGCTCCGTAGGTCCGTGACACAGGCCACAGTGCCAGGTAGCGAAAGGGTGCTAACACTGCAAAGCAGGTATCCAGCACCATTGCTGTAATACTTAGGACACCAGAGCTGTATAAGATGGCAGATAAGAAGAGCAGCATGGCACACGGCCACTCCGTCATCAACACACCAGCTAAATTGATGCAGGCACTCAGGATATTCATGCAAACAAAGAGCAGGTCGCTGAAGAGAACATTGGCCAGGAGGAGGTAACGTGTCTGCTGCCGCAGGTCAACTCGTGACAGGATACGTACTAGAAGGACCGGAGTGATCAGCAGAATGGCCAGAAAGGCCAAAATGGGGCAGATCTGAAGCACCCTCATGTGGCTGGGAGGGATGAATCCATGCCACTCGTGTGCAAACATCTCTACTGGGCTTTCAGAGGAGTTCGAGAAATTAGAAGAATGTCTGTGAAGCTCAGCTCGACCCGACTTGTTGTACCAATTGCCAAACGAACAAAACAGAGATAAAAAAAGGTCTTCTGCAGCTAGGTAGAAACGCTCCGACTTTCCCTCCATCAGTTTTTCCATCTCTTGGCATGTGTTTGTGCGTCCAATCCAGGGCTAAAAGACTGACGGACAGGTAAATGTGTCTCTCTTTTCCTCTTCCTGCAGACTGTGGTAAGTGATTTAGGAGACAGATGTGGACTGGTCACAGACACACTTGTAGATGGTTTCCATGGAGAAGGAGAAACAGGTAAATATCACTTCACAGCTAAATGGATCAGAATGACACTCTGGGATTTTGCACCAAGGCATAAATATTGATATGTCTTCCTAGAATCAGAACTGTTTACACTGTTATTTTTGGACTGATTGATTGTTTAACTTAGAGGACTAAGTGCCACACAGGTTAAACATTGAACACTTTTCAGAAAGACACAATTGTGTAAAAATCCTGAAATGTAAATTTATTTACCTTGCCAAGAGAACAAAACAGCATTATCGACCATTGCTTTGCACACAAGAGTTTGAATCAATTTTGTGGTCATGAATAACAACATACAGTATATCACTGGGGAAATCTCACAAAAATTGTCAAGAAATGTAGATACTGCATGAAGAAAATCAAGACTATTTTATGAAATATGTTTTTTTGTAATTAAGTCTTAGTAACCTAGACTTTTCTTTGTGAGATTCACCCAGTTGCACTTTATATAGTTTTATGATGAATAACAGCACATTCAGTCTTCAGTTTAGATATGAAAATATAAAAACGATTGAAACGTTCAAATGCTTTAATTGAATATACTAAAATGAATACTAAAATTAAAAAAAAATCTTTTGAGATCTCTTTCTGGCTCAGGAGTCTTTTAAATTCCCTCTTCTGCAAATAAATCCTCCAACGACAGAGCGAGTCCAGTTCTAGGCTGCACTCCTCTGACTTTGGTGTCTCTTCTTCCACAACACGTGCTGGAAAGTCTTGTAAATCTCGCGATAGCGCAGGATGTACAGGTAAGGAGTGCAACAGCGTGGCAACAACATCAACACGCACATGTTCACCAAGTTAATCCACACTCCCACGTCATCCAAGGTACGCTTTAAAAGAGCCAGCTCGACCGCAAAGACCAACGCGGGTACAAAATACATCATGAGCAACAGAGTGTGCGCCAGAAGTGTCATACGCGCACGAGAGTACCGACTACGCCATATCCCAGAAGTCTTGGTGATGATGTAGAGATGGATGTAACAGTATACAATAAGAGCAGTGCAGAGGCTGACGACAATGATGAAGTAGAAATGAATGCCAACCTTCATCTTCTGTTCCAACGAGTGCAGCGCAATCAACACTAAACACACTGGACGGCTCTGCTTGTCCTTGCCCATCACCACCTCAAACATCACTAGCAAAGAGACGGGACACACTGCGGCCATCACCCACAAGCTCATGATTATCTTCCTGGCCCGAGATGGTGGGAGAATCTCTTTGTAACGTAACGGCCACCGTACCGCCACATACGTGTCGACAACCATCAATGTGATAGTGAGCACAGAGGTGCTGTATGTCATTACCATGCTCAGCTTCATAAACTCACACAACCAGTGGGGCATGTACAGGCCCATGGAGTTGCAGGAGACCATCGCAAGGTTTATGGCGAGGAAGAGCATATCGGTGAAGAGCATGTTAGCAAGGAGCAGGTAGCGGTTCTCTTGACGTAGCAAAGGAAAACACAGTATGCAAAGGGAAAGAATGGGGTTGACCAGCAACGTGACAGAGGTTAGCAGAACCGTAGGGATGACGAACAGATTCATGCGTTTTCTCTCCATTATGGCGTACCAATCCGCAGAGATGTTAACAATGAAAGGCTGATTCATGTTTGGAGTTCAGTGCCACACTAATGAGAGAAAGCGTTAGGCTGAAGAACAATAGCTCCTCTGTATGCTGAGACTGGAACGGTGGAGCACATTTACGTCTTCTCTACCTACAGGAAACAGAAGAAACATGAGTACAGACTTGTACACCATATGATCTGTAAACTTAGGATGAGGCTTCAAAAAAATCGAACATTTTTCAAACATAAAAAAAATGCAGTTACATTTTCAAACCAGGAAAGACAACAAAAATTCATAACTCATCCTGCACATCCTGCAATTTCTCCAAAAATAATGACGGATAAATGTTACACAAACATTATCATTACTGATTTTTTAAATTAAAACCATCAAACATTCACAAAGCATTTTTCCTCCTTATACACAATTTGACTTAAATCATTTTTAACCTCAAACAGAGAATAAAAACAAATAGACTACACACTATCCCTACCCTATATTTATAATGGAAAGTTAATGTTCCTAATAATACTACATTTAAAAAAAAAAAATATATATATATATATATATATATATGAATAGTTGAGCATAAAAATATGAGTCTGTACATTTTCAAGAAAACATTCTGTCACAAATCCAAGGGTTAATAGTGATAAATATGAAATATAAAAAATATATACTTTTGAGTGAAATTGAATGACCTTAATATATTTACAAACATACAAATTACAACCACAAATGCCAGTAGCATGATGTTTGACAAGCTGGAAAAATCCATGCAAATAATGTGCTTGTTTGTTGTACTGGTAATAGTAGCTGTTATCTCTAATAAATACACAAATCATTATGACATGGTACGTAGTTCCAACTGAACAAAACACTATTTTAAGTTTCAGCCCCGTTTTTTCGACAAACAGTTCAAAGAGGAACAATGAAATACGAACGCATTGAAGAACAATCGATAAGTCGTGTTAAAATGACTCGCGTACCTGTTCCACACATCCACATGAGCAGTAACTACTGCTTCCATCCAGGTCTCCATTAGACTAATGCCACCCCAGATCAATACCTCCCGACTCTGTCCTTGTTATCAGAGAGCAGGCGTTCCACTGATGCGCACAGATCCGTAAACGATCGCACGGCACTAACACTCTTTCAGCTCTCCATGGTTACTCAGCATTTGGTGTAAATTATGCTGACCCTTCCCATAACAGGCCGTTCAGATAAACTAACACCATTATTACCTCAATGTCCCTCGACACTACTATTCACCTCATATCCGGAGGTAAAAGCTTATAAAGCAATAAATGAGATGGAGGATTAAACTAACAAATAATATACATGGCATGACCACCACCCTGTAAACAGTATGCTAGTGGTTAGCATATGTTAGGTCCTTTATGCAAAACATGAAATGCTGTCATCATATATCTCGGGAAAAAAAAAAACTTAGGTAATTTTGCTGAATGAAATCGTTTTTATTCATTTTGAATATTTAATACAAAATGCCTCATTTCCTGTCCTTCTTGTAACCAGTGTTCCAGTGACGCTTTTTCCTGTGCAGTCCATTGTCATCATCATCATCTTTATCCTCCCCTAACTCCTCATCAATGCTGTATTCGTCCTCCCTCCCTTCTGCCTCTTGCTCTCTTGCCATCAGCTTGCGAAAAACATGGAACTCCTCTGCAGTTCCCATGGCGACCTGCGTCAGGTAGGTTTCCTTAGAGACGCAGAGGATGTCTTTGAGCGGGGGGTTAAGGATGAGAGTTTGGCCCTTTTTGTCTGGCGTCTGGTACAGTCCCCTCCGTTCCAGAAAACAGTGACGGCACCGGAGCTCAGAGAGAGACAACCTGAACAGCTTTGCCTTTACCATCTCTGGCTGCCGCACACCCATACGGAAATATGCATACTGCGGGGAGAAAACAAGCTGTGCGTCAGTTTGAAACTACTGTAAAACACTAACTGCCCTTTAACTTGAAACTTCAGTGATCCAAAATGGCTCACACAACAGTGAAACGTCATTTACACAGACAGTTTACCCCAAAATTTTGTATTGTCATCAGAGCCAGGAAAACTTTTAGTGAAAAATAGCAGCCCTACCTGAAATTTGTACTCCAGCTTGGCCAAATCCTCCTCCAAAACCTCAGGTGAGTCTCTGAGGATGTCTGTGACCTGATGGATGGTGAAGAGGCATTTCTCTCTGAGCAGTCGGGACACCATGTTTACCCTCTTGACTGACAGAAGCATGACTTCGGGGTAGCGACTGATCATCCTCTGCAGACTACCTGTGGACAGATTTCGGACAACTCTCCATCAGTGGCTTTCAAACTGGTGTCTATGGACACCCAGCGGAGCACTAGAGGGTCCATGGAAAATTTCAGAGAAAGAAAAATTACAAAATGTACAGTGTGGGGGAAAAAGAACAATAAATAAATCTGCATATAATTTTGAGAGAAAAAATATTTTTATTAGGGCTGTCAAATTGATAAACCGTGAGTAATCGCATTCAAAATAAAAGTTTGTATTTAAATGATGTGTGTGTGTACTGTGTATATATATGTATATATAAATACACACACATACATGTATATATTTAAGAAATATATGTAATATTTATTTATATATAATATAAATCATATATATATATATATATATATATATATATATATACACAG